TGTGAGCTGCATTAACGGCCGGTCAAGAACGTGAGCTCTGAGGGCCGTTCATTTATTACAGTACGTTAGAAGACTCGTTACGAACAAAGATTTTAAGAAGTAAAAGATCACTTTGGAAGGATATACACGTTAATTTTCGAGTACGAAAAGGTAAAATAAAAATGCTTGCTTTATAGGACATCGATCAGTATCTTTGACCTGTTTTCGTTATATTTCTTCCAGATCGATCTCAAGACTTTGGATTATTATCGAATTCGAGAAGTATTATTTTATTAATTTTTGTTAAATTATTTAATTGAACATATTAATTGCTTCTTAAAATCTTATGACTGTGAGCTGCATTAACGGCCGGTCAAGAACGTGAGCTCTGAGGGCCGTTCATTTATTACAGTACGTTAGAAGACTCGCTACGAACGGAGATTTTAAGAAGTAAAAGATCACTTTGGAAGGATATACACGCTAATTTTTCGAGTACGAAAAGGTAAAATAAAAGTGCTTGCTTTTATAGGACATCGATTAGTATCTTTAACGTGTTTTCACCATATTCCTTCTAGATCGATCTCAAGGATAGTTATTGAGTTTGGAAGGTGTGCAAGAAATCAGAATTTATAGGAAAAAAAAGGTGAAAAATACGTTAACATGTGAAATCATGTGAGTTACACATCGATAGTTAGAAAGTCGTTGATTCTAGAGAACTTGCCTTTGTAGGAACAATGGGAAAAGAAACCGTTCTTTCCGTCCACCACCTACTTATGAGACAGGAAATGATAAGTTTGACGATCAAGGTGGAAAAATAAAGGAGATCACTACTTGGCACGATGTAGAGCACGATTCAGAAGAGAACTGTAAGAATTAGTTGTTCTTCCTAGACTTGTTATTCGATCGATATTTACGTTACATAACACCTTCTGAATAGTTTATGCTGGTAGTGATTAAATTTCCCTAGATACTCATGGCTCCCACAATCTTGGTATGTTTTTTTGAAAGAGCATATGATCATTTATTTTATTATAATTTCATAAAACAGCCTTATGCTTTGTTGACAGACGAATCAGAGTTATCTGAAGAAGTATTTGCATTGGAAACGGCAATTTCCTCGGATGAAGATGAAAATGAGATGAATAATCTCGAGGAAGATGATTCAATTCTTGACACTAGGTGGGCAGCCGCAAAGAAAATTATTATAATGCGGATAACATTTCTAATTTAGATGATGCGAAGGAAGAGGAAGAAGAAGCATTAAAGTTGCATAAGAAAAGAATTAGTCAGATGATTTCTTGGAATTAGATGGCGAATCATTGGAGTTCAGTATGGTATTTATTCATTATAATTTAATTGACCTTATTCCACACATACAACAATACGAATTAATTTCTTCTTAGATCGACAGAAAACAAATTAAATGTACATAATGATTTCTACTTAATATAATTGATAGGTAAGTCTTCAAAAAACGTGATTTAATAATTGATTTTATGGTCTCTATGAAATTATAAAATTAAAAAGAATTTAAAGGAAAGTTCTAGACAAAGAACGTCAAAATTTATCACGCGACGATATACGTAATTAAAATAATACAGTCCGAATTAAACGAGTTCGAGGAAAAATCCTCGATACTGCGGAATACGGTAACACCTTTGTTAGAAAAGTAAGCTATATATATTCATATTGGTTTTTTTTTTTATTTTTATTTAAATATTATTAAGTTGTCTAAATTGTTTACTAGGGCTAGACAAAAAAATCTTATACATAATCCGGCCATGAAGTTTATATCAATAAAACATCAAACATTAGTTTTTTAAAAAAAATTCTAAGCTTATGTAGTATTGTACACGGGTACTAATTTGCAAATCCGTATACGTAACAATTTTTACAAAGAAAAAAACCTCGCTTAAAGTTAGGGTAGAGCGAGAGCTTATATTATAATTTCACGAAAAATTGTTTTTTGTTAGACCAGAAAGGTTGTTTTATAATCGGTATTTCAATATTTTAAAGAAAGCGATAATTTTATGTTGCAACGGATCTTGCATTCTGATTAGCTTTTCTATATACCCATGTACGCGTAGTGTACAGATAGAAATTGTCTTTTAAAATTGATTTATATATTTTTTAATAAAAAATTTTAAAAAAATTGTAAATTCTAAACTGTAAATGTTAAGTTCTCAACAACTAGTAATCCAAATTGAACCAAATTTTTATATATTATATAACAGACGTCTTCTTACAATATGTAAAAAAAAAAAAAAGATATATAATCTACCCTCGTTATAACGGATTCAGTTATAGCGGATCCATGGAGAAGTCTTCTAAAATTTTTAAGAACAATTTAAAATTTTTATTATTATACTATATAACTTTATAATGAATTTATAATAGACAAGGTTTCCCAGCACGAGCACTACGTTAGAACGAAGGCAGACTGTAATTTGGATTATGTAAAGAACCATATAAAATTTTCAAAATTTAAATTTCTTTCTTGACAACTGGTTACCTAAACTGCATCAAATTTTAGCGTATTAAACAAAGATATTTACTGTATAATACATAAACATGGACAGTTGATTATCAAGAAATTTGCTAATTACTTTTTTTTTAAAATACACCAATGCAATTCATAAATCTATAGACTATATTATATATCGAGTTTCTCAATAACCAGTGATCCAAATTAAACACAATTTTTATATAGTATAGATCAAGCATTTTCTACAATATATAAAAATTTGGATTACTAGTTGAGAAAATTAATATGAGATAACCAATCAACCGGATAAATTGAAAATTTAAGATACGTAATCGGTTATATTAATTTTCTTGTTAACCAATAGTTCAAACTACATCGAATTTATACATGTTATAGAAAGATGAATAAGTATAAGATATTGGTCATGCATCGATGAATATCGCAAAATTTGTCCAATTGGGCAAATGATTGGCTGACAGTGCCGCGCAGCGGCACATGTCAGCCAATCATTTACACAATTGGACAAATTTTACGATATTTATCAACGCATGACTCAATATTTGTGTTATCTGGCAATTCATGATCATGATTTTCAAGTCGTGATTTGCTAACTGAGTTTTAATTCGAATAAACATGATTACGACATAACATCCTAAAAAATAACAAAAAGAAATAAATCTATGATCATAAGTGTTTGCCGGATAATATATAAAAATTTACCCAATTCGAATTATTAATCGTTTTTGAAACAGCAAACATCTATTAACAGTTAACCGTCTTTTTTCGTAATGTAACATTTGCGATTTAGCGTTAGAATTTACAATTTTTTTTAAAAAAATGTACCGGTAAATCAATTTTATCATATAGAAAGAAATAATATACATTTAATACGTATTAGATTAAGTATATTGTCTTTTTATAAATAAAATTTTAATCACATTCCTTATATATTAAAATATGCAATTTTTTTATCACCGCCATTTTTTTCGTAACACAGCGTAAACTTACGGCATAAGTATTCACTCGTTTGAAAAACCTTAAATAATTCCATCTGCCTTTCATTGAATTAACATCACTGTATAACGCATAACACATTACCATTAAATAATGGTCGATGAATTTTATTATAAAAGATTTAAATATAATGGAAAATGTGCAAATTGCAAACGATATAACACATCTGAAGGTTGGTGTCAAACGTGTGACCCTCAGATAATAATAAAAGGATGGACAAGTGGAAATAAGGAAGTCGATGATTGCATTAAAGAATTTCAACTTAAAGCTACATCTTATAAAGATGTAATCGAATGGATTCCTTTTAATAGATTAACTGATATTCAAAACGTCGGCGATAAAGTTTTAGCAACTTGGTTAGATGGAATACGACATATGAATCATAAAGATGAACAGTCACGTATACCATCATATAAAGTGGAGCTTAAAATATTAACTGAGCCACAAAATTTATTAGATATGTTAAAAGAAGTAAGATAAATACTCAATAAATTAATGATATTGCATAAGATGTATATTGTAATCTTATTTTAATTTATATTTACACGTTTAATAAGTTTGTAGATTATGTACAGTTAAAGAATAATATGCTTAAAGTATATGGGCTTACTCAAAACACCGCAACAAAGGAATATATGTTAGTATTTGATGAGTTTGATTATAAAAGAATAGAACGGAATGGAAAATGTGCGAATTGCGACCAATATAATACTTCCGAAGCTTGGTGTCAGACATGTGACCCTCAGAAGACAACGCAAGGATGGACAAGTGGAAATAAGGATATCGATGATTGCATTAAAGAATTCCAACTTAAAACCACATTTTATGATGACGTAATCGAATGGATTCCTTTTAATAAATTAGTTAATATTCAAAACATTGGAGATAAATTTTTAGCAAGTTGGTTAGATGGAATACGATATGTAAAGTCTAAAAGTAAATATAAATATAGATCACGTATAAAATCATATAAAGTGGAACTTAAAACATTAATTATATCACAAAATTTAGCAGATATATTAAAAGAAGTAAGAAATACGTATTTCATAATTTAATAATGTTGCACAAAACATTTACTTTTATTCTATTTTATTTTATATTTAATAAGTTTGTAGATTATGTACTGTTAGAGAATAATGAGCTTAAAGTATATGGTCTAACTCAAAACACAACTACAAATGAATATATGTTGGTATTTGATGAATTTTGTTTCAAAAGACGTAAAAATTATGGAAAATGTGCAAATTGCAAGCGATATAATACTTCTGAAGCTTGGTGTCAGACATGTGATCCTCAGAAAACAGCACAAGAGTGGAGGAGTAGAAATAAGGATGTCGATAGCTGTATTAAAGAATTTCAACTTAAAGCTACATCTTACAAAAATGTAATCGAATGGATTCCTTATGATAGATTAGTTAATATTCAATATATCGGAGATAGAATTTTAGCAATCTGGCTGGATGGAATACGATATGTAGGTTATAAATTTGGCAGATATACACAGTCACGTATATCATCATGTAGAGTGGAGCTTAAAATATTAACTGAATCACAAAATTTATTAGATATGTTAAAAGAAGTAAGAAATTTCGATATGATTTATTATGTGTAGCTTATTTAATTAATAGCCTGTTTACATACCGACTTACATATTTTATTTATTTTATAAGTTTAAAAATCTTGTGCAATTAGAAAATCAAGTTCTCTATGGTCTAACTCATAACACCGCAGCAAATGAATATATGCTAGTATTTGATGAATTTGGTTCTGAAAGATTTGAGCATAATGGAAAATGTGCAAATTGCAAGCGATATAACACATCACCGGCTTGGTGTCAAACGTGTGATCCTCAGAATACAACAAAAGGATGGACAAGTGGAAATAGGGATGTTGATGATTGTATTAAAGAATTTCAACTTAAAGCTACATCTTATGCAAATGTAATCGAATGGATTCCTTTTAATAGATTAATTAAGATTCAAAACATTGGTGATAAATTTTTAGCAACTTGGTTGGATGGAATACGAGATACAAATTATGTAGGTGGTAAAGATAAATATACACGGTCACGTATATCATCATATAAAGTGGAGCTTAAAATATTAACTAGATCACAAAATTTAATAGATATTATAAAAGAAGTAAGTCTGTATTATTTATGTGTAGCTCATTTAATTAATATCATCTTTAAGTAACGATAATTTCTATTTCTACATTTTATAAGTTTAAAAAGGAGGGTAAAAGAGTCTGTGGATTAAGTCAAAACACCACAACAAATGAATATATGTTAGTATTTGATGAATTTAGTTCTAAGAGAAACCAAGTGAATGGAAAATGTGCAAATTGCAATCGATATAACACATCTTACGCTTGGTGTCAAACATGCGATCCTCAGAAGACAACACAAGGATGGGCAAGTGGAAATAAGGAAGTCGATGATTGCATTAAAGAATTTCAACTTAAAGCTACAGAGTACGAAGATGTAATTGAATGGATTCCTTTTAATAGATTAGTTAATATTCAAAACCTCGGTGATAAATTTTTAGCAACTTGGTTAGATGGAATACGATATGTAAAACAAGAAGGTGTAGTGTCAGAAAGGAAATATACACAATCACGTATACCATCATATAAAGTGGAGCTTAAAATATTAACTATGCCA